CCGTCATGAAAGATTTCATAATCCTGATAATAACATCAAAAAATGTTGGCGCGTTGATAATGTTAATCGATTGCATCCGTATAGGATAGCAGTTTTGCCATGTGTGTACTATATTCATTAATGTGGAGGGTCGAAATTGAGTTATGTGACGTATTGTTGGATTGACCACGTCAATGAACGATGCGCAACCATATATAGATGCTGTGGCGTTGTTCTTCATCGCTAACTCTACCATCATGAAACCGATCTGAAATAAATTCATCGAGAAACAATGGGAAATATTTTATCATAACATCAGTCACAAAAATATAATTTAAGCGTTAATTTATTTACTAATTAATTAATTTATTTACTACTCTAATTTTTACCTTAATAAAGTTCGATAGTTTGTGTATTGTCGGATTATAACGAGTAGCGCGTGCGATGAGAATCAATCTTCCTCGACTATCCAGTTTCCGCAGAGGTAAAAACAACCTAAATGTAAACGAAATAATTCATAATTCTTCGTAGAAGTTAATTTTAATTTTACAGTATTTACAGCGATACATATCTACTTGTGTCAAAAAATTTTTAATTAAATATTTTTACTAAAATATAACTTAAAAATAATATAAAAAAACAATAATTTCAAATATAACATAAAAGTTAACAAAAAATTTAAAATTTAAAAACAATATGTCATTATAATTAAAGCTATTATAATTTATAAAATTTTGTATTGTATCTACCTTAAATAGAAAAATACTCACTATGGATCCCCATTGTTATCAAATTAAAATTATTAAATTAAAATTATTAAACTTGTATTTATTATAATAAATATAAATTAATATGTAAAAGAATTGAGCTTTGTCAATATAAAGTGCTGTTAATTGCAATGTTATAATCGCTCTTTTATAAAAGAAAAATTGGAAGTAATAATTATTACTGTTTAAAAATTTGTAAAATACTTTATGGTAAATATCATTTTAAGTTGGATAATCTAAGACATTATTTGCCATTATTAATAAAATAGAAAAGAAAGATTTTATTTAAATTATACATTTTTATGTTCTAAAAATAGTGATTGTTACCCCAAATCAAGTAGTTCCTGTAGTTCCTGTTGAAACGGATCCTTATTCATGCGCCATTCCGGTAAGTCGGATTGCTGCTTATAATAGTTTTGTATCCTAATCTTAGTTTTCTCCAAATTAAACTTGCAGACTCTTAAGAATCGCAGAATAAGGAAATCATCTGTATACAAATTAAAAATTACCTCCAAATAAAAAGCTATTAATGCAGTGCTAGATCTGTTATAGTTATTACAAATTAAATAGTATTTTCCTAAATGTGTACTTTTATAGAACAACATATATGATTTTAAGAAATGTTTAATATCTAAATGGATTATAAGCACACTTTCTTGCTTTCTTAATTAGAAGGAGAAATAATACTAAGTCAATCCAAAAATTGTTCAGAAAATTGCGAAATGCAATAGGACGATTACGAACTTTTTGATATATATTTTTTATTGATTTTTCATTTTTTTTCTTCATTTATTTTTTACTTATCGAAACTCGATGTTAGATCACTGCTAATTGTTTTTGTTTTCAGTAAAGAAGTCAAACACACACTTTGTTACATTATATGTATATATAATTTTCGTCTTTTCTTTTTGCGTGATAAAGAATGAATTCAAGTACAAGATATCGAATTTAACATCGCGCCGATTAAAGGCTAAATTTTGCGTATTATTGCTCCGGAAATAATAAACCGTAATTGAATTTCAACATATTTTGAATGATATTGCAACGCGTGAGATCATCGTCATTATTACAGATTCGTATGCGCAGTTCGTCCTCGCTCCAGCGTCTAATTTCCGCGACGGCGTTTTCTCTAGTTTCATCAGTTTCGTTCAAATATGCCGCCGCATATTTTTTATCCTCACTAGTCAGCTCTTGCGGGACATTATGCACCACGCTGTCGCTGTAATTTTGTTCGTTTGCCATCATGATGATAATAAGCAAAAAAAGCTTCACACTATCGCGGAAGGAGTTCGAGATACGATCGATACACTGTCACATCTGAGACTACGATCATGCAAATAGATGACTACGTAAAGACTCCAGATAACGTAGAATAACGTGTTCTTTGGAATCATTGAATCGTATCACTGTCACTATACACTGTCACTGTCACTGTCAGCGACATCTGCAGCTGATAATGCAGTTTAAGATTTAATGACTTGATACATACATATATACTCATTCTCGAGAGGAACGCAGAAACTTTAATTTCTGAATTCTTTACACGATATTACGTTTAGCTTTTTATATAAAATGCGTATGAGCTAAAATTATATTGCAAAATTATAGTTATATTATTACAAAGTATACATTAAACTTAACCAATAAATTATAATTAAAATGTCTAACACGTTTCTAATTAAAGAGATAAAATAATTAATCTAACAATCTTCAAGTTACAAAGCAAAATGAAACAAATTTTTTCTACAATATAAAATAAAGCGTGCTGAATATGAAAGCATATTATATTTTCTAGCCTTGAATAGAGTATCTCTGAGGATTCGAGATATCCGCGAGATAATTGTTTCCATGGATTTATGCTCAGCGAGAGTTGCATTAATGCGTTAATACATAACGCATTAAAAAAATTAATCTGTGTTGCTATAAATAGCGGAGTCTCGGCACTTTTCCAATACCCTGTATATTGTTAAATAATTGTAATCATTGTATAAATAATTAATTGATTGAAATTTTTTTATTTTGCAAGCAGTATTATGAATTATTACGTATAAATGTATATAAATGTATATAAATGTACAATTTCCATTTTTTCGTCACATGTCTTATTTCGAATATCTTTCTTTTTAGATAGTAAAAAATAAGAAAGTCAAATACATGTCATAAATGCAAGTCCGACAAAAAATTACGTTGCATTCATGCGCATTTATATCTTATTGATCGGTACGTTGATAATAATTTTAAAAAAACTTTTTTTAAACTGAAAATGAGTTATACAACACAATTTGAACAAAAATATTACAAAAAGTTCGCTTCATCAAAAAGAGTAAAAAGGTATAGGTATAATATTAACATTATTACTGTGGATACGGATAAATTAAAATACATTAAAAATAGAATTATATGGTTCAAGTCATGTGTTTCTTAGTCCTTACCATCATTTAATTGATTTAGCGATAAAACATGATGGCAACAGGCAATTAATTGCTTTAAAAAATGATATTTGCAGCACGAATTCCGCTTTCGAAGATTGCTTGATTGCAGAATTTTCCTATTGTTGCGCAAAAATTGCGTTGCTTTCTTGCAATATTTCTGCAGCGTAGAATACAGAGTCAAATATCTCTTGATAATTGCATAGTTAATTTTGTCAATTAGCAAGTTGATCTTATTCAGCAAATAAGTGCGTGTTTTCCTCTCGCTTTGCCAATCGTAAAATTCAATTACTTCGTACTCGTCTAAGTCGTACTCGCCTACGGTCGAATCAGTTCTGAGCTGGTCGGTCACTTGAAACACATTGTCCAAACCAAAGACAATATCTTCCCGAATTCTATTATCTATTATTCCGGCAAGAAGTAGCTCACGCATACGTATCATTCTTTTATATTGAAATCGTACCTACATTTGAAATGAAACAACGCGTTAGTAATCACGAAGAATTTAGAAGAATTTTTTTTTAGTGTTCAAGAAAGGAAAGAAAGCCGGTGTATGTACTACAAAAAATACTGCAACTGTGAAACAGCAAAACAAATTATTTGTAGAAAAGCTTTTACTTTCTGAAAAGAGAATGATTAGAACGGCGATATTTCTTTAAGATTGTTTATTTTTTACTAAAATGTCATTAAAAAATAATTATAATTACAATTATAAATTTACAAAATTAATGTATAGAAATGTAATTGTAGATCAAAAGAAATGCTACTACAATACTTCTTTATGAAATTTAAAAATAATGCTCTGTTAAAAATTTTGTAATTTTATACAGTGATATATTCTTGCAGTTTTTCTTTATTTCTAATTGTAAGTTGCAATATCTTTCATAAAAGACAAATTTGAATTAAATCTGTCTTGAATGTCTTACCCTTCCCAGAGTGTTCAAAATGTTTCGCAAAATCCTACTCTTCTTGCCGTTCGGCAAGATCCAACTGTTGAAATTTTTTGCCATCCTCAGATATCCTATACCCTCAAGTAGAAAACGATCGAAATTTGGTTTATTTGGTAACTAAAATTCAAAAATATAAGTGTTAAACGTAATTTAATATGTCTACTATTCGTTATACTGTTATTTGCAGCAATAGGTACTTACACGAAGATTTTTATTTTTCTCAGCTCTGCAAACCTGAGATTGTTCCACCTCTAGGAGTATAAATATGCTTAAATAAAACAAAAAAAAAGAATAATACATATAGCTCTAAAAATCACTTCTAACAATAATTATAAAATTTCAGCATAATTACACAATTTATAATTATTTCGATAAAATATGTCGCTCTTATATAATCTCACTTTCTCGAAGATATTTATACAAAATTAATGAAAGCTTTTTAGTTTCTAATAAATATAATAAAAATTTATATACTATCTCACGTATTTCATAAAATTTCTTCAACATACCGATATATTCTACATGAATTTGTGTATACAGAATATTATTGCAAATTCCATTACAAATTATATAAAGGAATCATATGGATTTACGCAATTTAATTATTACAGATAAGCAAGTATCAACATTAAAAAGTAACACAAACCTTTTCAGATTAGCATGAATTGCGCGCGCTCGTTCTACCTCGATCGCTGTGTTTAATCGCGTGCAAAAAGCATAGACCATGATTGCGTACCTGTTTCCCGGTGCAAAAGAAATGCGAAATAGCCACCGTTCGTATGAATATTACACGTGTGAAGGTATAACGGAAGGTGTAACTTTTTAAAGAAACCAGGAGTTAAAACAGTCGTGACAGCGCGATAACGTTATTAATCTTCTCGTGTATCGTTTAAAGTGTGATCTGAAGCCTTACACGAAATATTTACCCAAACTTCATCATTTCATCTTTGTGTTTACCCATTCGAAGGTCGTAATAAGGGACATGCGAGAAAGACTCTTTTTTCCTTTCAAATCGCCTATCTTTGTATAAAATACATGCTCTCCTTGAGATTCGAATGCCCGATAAATATGACAAATTCGACAATAGATTCGTCTATTAAATTATCAGAAGTGATTTCGAGAACGAGTCCAACGAATGAATAGAAAATGGAAGGAAAATGAAATGATGGAAAATTAACATATATTTTCATGCGTATGCGAAAAACATATATTACAAAAAACACAACTATAATAAATATAAAATATTATCAATTTAAACATTTTAAATATTATCTAGCTTATATATATTCCACAAGTCTTGTGTCTTCTTGTACGAGACATTGTGATAAAGAGTACCATATCATTAATTGCTAGACTTTCCACTCTCTTCCTTGAATGTCATATCCACGTACTTTGCAACATTTTCCTGCTCCTAAATAGTATAACAGACATGAAAGTAAAATACGTTTTACACTCGATAATTTTAAATATTCAGATATTTGTAAAACGGAAAAAGACATATTTTTTAGTTCTTTTTAAGAATAAATTAAATAAAGCAGTTTAAAAAAAGGCGTGTCGATGAGGAGTTGCTTTACTGATAATCGACGGTTTTTATTCCTGAATTTATCGCGACGTTTGCGGATAAATCAGAGAACGTTATTTCTTGGTAACTTGAATTTCGCTTAATCCAGCTTACTTTCGTTTTTAATTTAAACAACTCATAATGTAGATTAGGAAATGTACCTTGCTAACACGCGCCAGCAATCGTTCTAGGAGATCGTATTTGTGGCGGTTATCGAGGGCTCGCGACGATCTCTCCCGCTTCGATTCCGTGATTCCCCTGTTATCGTGCAGAAACAATCTCACCCTCTTGCAATAGTCTCTCAGCGTGTGATACAACATGACGTACAATGCCGAGGTGTTACCGGTGAACGCAACCCATAGACTCTTGATTCTCGTAATCAGCGACTCGATGTTCGCCAACAAGAACTTGCGATGGTACACCTCGGCAAGACAATAGAAGCAAACATCAATATGTCCGCACAAATCGTCTTCTTCGAAATCGAAATTTACCAGCTCAAAGTCATCGTACACAGGTATTAAATTCTCGAAAGCCCAATCATCATCTTCCTCCTCGCTAAAAGTGCTCGATCCCTCATCAAACTGTTCCTCATCTCTCTTCCAGCCACTCTCGAATACCTGGTCCCGCAGGTGCACCTTCAGCTACGTGCGATATGCCATTATACATTGTAATTATTGAACGAGGAAAATTTGAACGGCACAAAACTTACATTAATTATTGGAAACAAATGAGATTGACGATATCGTCAATTTTTTGAATAAAATCAATAATTTCAAAGATAAATTTCGGAAAATCGGTCTTTAAATGAAAAAATAATCATAAAATTATAGTTTTGCGAAGGAATTATTTATACAATAGTTTACATGATCTTGCAAAAGAAACATGGATTAGAAAGTTATACTTTTTATTCTTTTAAAGGCGTGGAAAATATTATTAAAGCATAAAATAAAAATGTTCAAAAATGCAGTTGCAACATTTTATATTCAAGAGGAATTTAGCGTTAGAAGTCACCCAAATTGTAAAAAATAAAAAATTCGGAATTTTATAGATTAATAACAACTTTCGAGTTTTTTCTACTTTAATTTCTCTATCTTTTGCATACGGAAATGGGTTAGGAGCTATATCTCACCCTCGAGTAAATGTCCATGGCCTTTAACATAATTGCAAACATCTTGGACATTTTCTGATTGCGCTCGTGCAAAATATTCGTCATGTTCAGATAAATCTGGCCTTCGCTTAGAAAATGTCTAACATCCTTCGTTCGGCATGGCATCTAATTAATCCGGATAACATAAAAAAATTGATTATAAATGTTCGCAGGCATTCTTCAATTTGTTAGTACTTGTCATTGTTATTTGTAACGATACTCACGCAAAGCTTTTCACACTTGACAATTTTATTAACTCGATACACTTCCTTTTCTAAGAGCATCAAAATCCTTAAATAAAACGTAATTATTATAATTAAGATATCTGATGTTCGCAATTTTCAATTTGTACAAAGTATATTGAAGAAAATCGCATGTATTTCTTTCCAGAATCTTAACGAAATTAAAGCGAATTCTTTACTGTTAATAAAAACTTATGAATTGTTAATTTCTAATAAGGTTTCTTCAGAGCGTTTATACTTCTTTATTTTAATAAACAAAATAAATAAATGCACTGAATTAAAGTAAAAAAATAAAAGGATAATTTCTATACACTACGCAAATATGTCTAAATAAATGTTTAACGTTTTAAATGATACATTGTTGATTATTAAAAATTAAATATCTCCATTTTTGTAAAAATAATATTATTCTTATAAATATTATTATTACTCTCTAATTGATATATGGCTATACGTATATTAGTTCCAATTCTGCAAATATTTTTTATGTTATACAACCGATTAAAAAATTTCGAATTATAAATCTGGAGTAGATTAAAACAAGACTGATCTAGAGAGAATGTAAACGATGGTAGAGAACAAACCTGTGCAGATAAAAATAAACTTGATGCGTTTGTGCAATCGAGTTTTTCACCTGAGCAAATATACAGCGATCGCACGTACAAAACATGAGTGCCTCTAAAGTGATTTAAAGAAATGCAAAATAATAATTGCAGTTGAGACGCGAGACACGACACGTGGATGTATGCGGATGTGTACACAGACCGTCCAGCGGAAACCTGGGATGAGATGATCGTGACAACGACAACGACGAATTGATCACTTCAGGAATCCGTCACGTTCGGAATTAATCCGGAATGTTTATCTATGTATTTAAACTGTATGTTTACCCGTTCGAAAGTCGAGCGGTATTTGTGGAAAATAACAGCTTTCTTTCCGATGAAACATTGACAAGATTTGAAAATCTGATCTTCAAAGAACCAATATCTATCCTCGAAATTATTAATTCAAAAAATTACGACATCATCAGTCGTATTTGTTTCTATGATTAGTGCACGTAATGATAGATAAAATATTTATGTAAAATCTTTACTTTTTTCTATACCATAGTATATGCGTATATAGCGGTTTTCTGCCGATATTGAAATTTTTGATATTACAATTCTTTTCTTTACAAACGTGCAATTTTTTGCAAATTATCAATTAATTGCTGCAATGTCTTATAATATAATTCAGTACGTAATAATGCGTAGCTTACAATACTTAGGCAGAAATAATCGGTCTATAGACGTCGAGTGCCGACGTCTATAGATCGATCATTTCTGCCTGATCATGAATAAATAGATAATTTATTTTATTTTATCGTCGATCTTATCTTTATTAACATATGAAAAACATTATAAAAGTAAAGAGAATATTAATAAGATATAGACACAATATAAGATTTGTAAATTACATTTATAAAATTATACACCGTTTTGACATAGTTAAATCAATGACGATGATGTCAAAACAGCATCTGATTGCGACAGCGTACTTATCACGTTGTTAAACGCTTCCTTTAACTTTTCTACTTCAACTTCTTTCGCGAGTAATCTAGAATGATTCGAGAAAAATCGAAATTTCCATTATTTTTATCCAATTTTACAATTATTAAATTAATTTCTTTTTATCGTTGATGAATTCGAAAAACATACGTTGAAAAAAATTATATTAAATATTACAAATACATAGAACAGTTGCAAAAAAATATTCACTCTGTAATATTCACTCTTTCTCGCAGTTAATCTTTGATTAAAATTAACTAAAATATAATGTGCAAGTTTAAATTAAAAATCTGATCAAACATGTAAAATATCGAGAACGAACTTGTCGTATAATTGTTTAACGACGTTCACCAATATTCGCGCCTGGGTAACATTGAAGAGCGTTAATTCCGAAATGAAACCTCGTAAAAAGTTTATAATGTCTCGGGTAATCTGCTCAAGTCTAAATTTCGATATGTTCGGCAATGCTTCCTGATGTAAAAACATATCATTCAGTTCCAGCTCTTTCTTCAAGGTGTTTACTTGCTCCCGTAGCTGCTGCACGACAAACTCCTTCTGCGGCTGAATGTGACGTATTGTCTTGATCGGTTTGAGTTTTGCGATTTCAGCGGTCAATCGCATGGTCGACAAAGTGACGTCGAGATCCTCTCTCGTGATGCGAACGTGAGATATGAAGCTGACGAGTAAAACGTCTGAATTTTAATTAATCAAGCAAAATGTTATAAGTAAATTTTAAATCTAATTTATATAATTTAATGGAAAATATTAAAATTTAAATTATTATTAAAAAGCAAAATTTATATTTATTATTTTTATTAAATATTATGAAATCGCGTTTTTTTATTTAATATTTAATTTATATACAATAAGGAAGAAAGATAAATTTAATTTAAATTAACATAAGAAAATTTGTGCTATTTCAAATTTATATCCATTATATAATTACCGAATAATGGATGTGACTGTGAGAGTGTCACTTAGTAGCTTCAGCAAATTACTTGAGCGAACAACGCTGTATGTGCACATATTTGGTTTTCTAAGATGCAGGAAATATTGTTCCAGCTGTATTTTCATTAAATTCGCCATACCTAAATCGGCTGCTGTTTTCCAGCAACTCGATTTTCCCACCGTACCAGTTCCAGCCATCTCAACGATACATATCTAAAAATCGTAATTTTTTTTCGAGATACCCCTAAATTAGTATATTTAAACGTTATATTTGATTTGTATCTATATGTCAAATAATAATTTTATATGCTGTTTAGCTTCAATATTTAAACATAACATTTAAAATATTATGATACTTTAGTAAAGCAATACAAAAAAAGTGTTTCCTAGCAATCTAAAAATTATTATACGAGATTATTTTATATACGGGAAGTTTTAATAATTATTTTTAAAGTTGTCGGACTCAAATTACTTTTCCTGTCGTTACGATAGCTTGCGATTTTATCAGACTTGCGTTTGAAATATAGATAGTGATCACAGCAGTACTCAAATGTGATACCGAATACATTGTGCCTTTCACAATCAATCTCCTGCCTTCTCCTTCAAGTATTTTTCTCAGTGTCTCCTCCTCACTCTCTATATCCACTATAGTTACATTCTGGAATCATAACTGTGTCAATTTCAGCACGTATATGTAGAACAAAACCTGATTAGACACTTTAGATAAATGTAAGAGTTCCGGGGAATCGTAGAAGTAACTATTTCCTAATGTAACATTATTCTTTTGCGACGCAAAATTGGAAGCTATCCAAAAATTTAATAAAGATATGAATAAATTTCTACGAAAAACCAATTGCAGAATTTTCATAGTTCCATACCACGGTACCTTAAAGACATGCTCGTTGACGTTAAAGACCCGTCGTTTTTGCGTGAGAAGATCGATTACATTTTTACCTCTCAGCTCAATGAAACTTAAACGATAGCGTATGTCGCTGATTTTCTTTCGATTTGCCTTTTCCGTAAACATGTCGGACAAGAGTCGCGGGACTATTCCTCTATGCTAAATCAACGAGTGACGCGATCAAAATAATTAATTGAATGATAGTCCGAATAAGATATTGCAAGACAGAAGCGTACTTCCCAATTGTTTCTGAGACCGCCGATAGTAAAACTCTTTCCGGATCCGGTTTGTCCGTAGCCGATCAATACGCAATGCACGCCGTCTAAAGCTCTAAAATTATTTCCTCATTGCGTATGTTAAACACGTTTGATTATTTTTATAAACGTTGCATGATATTCCATATACCTTATTAGCGATATCAGCTAAGTATTATTAATTATCAATTAATATAACTGTGTTCTTCTGTTCTGTGTTCTACTCTTCCTGATGAAATACACAAAATTATGCTAATTCTTAATAATTAATCTAAATATTTCATTTAATTACAATTTAAAATCATTTTAACTTAAGAAATTAATAAAATACATTTTTATTGATCTTCATACGCTATCAATATAATATTGGTAGTTCGCCACATGTGGTGGACGTTAATTGTGCTTTTAAAAATTAATTTTAATAATTTTATTACATTTGACAACATCAAATTAATATAAACAATTTCAAATTAATTATATCGCTGACACATTATGGAATATCATCATATAACTTTCAATTTCAATCGATACTTTTCTACAAAGTCTTTCGCGGTAGCGCAGTACACTTTATCCTGGGACATCTCGTGAAATATCCCATCGATACGAAAGGCCCAATAAACGGGACACCTTGATCGTTCGTCTTGCCGTCGTAGATCTTGCAAGCATCTCACGTATATCGTCTAAGTGGCGACATTATAATAATGTAATGAATATATAATGCATTAATTGACGAATGTGTCGAAACGAGACATCTCAATGAAGCAATAATAATAACAGTAAGAAGACGGCAAATCTTCGAGAGACACACGCTGGCGTAGTATAATCCTTTCTCTTCTCGACTGCCGGAATACCTTGGTTTAACGATAAAGAGAGATCTACATTAATCTCACCTTACCGTCCGTACTGATCTTCGCGCAAGAATCGCACGGCCTCTCGAGCGGTAGAATTCGCACGAAGGTCTTGACATTGCTGTCGTTCATCCCGTCAATCGATTCGGTGTCCGACGCAGAAAAGTTCGTTCGGTACATTCTTTTACTTTCAACATTATCTCAATATCTTGGATAATTGCGAGACGAAAAGGTTAATCCCATCTTTCAGTCGGGGTGCGCTCTATTTATAACGCTGAAATTGCCTAGAGTTCAATTTCTGCAGTCAACGTCGCAAGGTATCGCATTCACGCGTACGCGGAAAAATCACATGCGAAATATTTACAAAAATTAAACACGTCGTCGTAAGTATGAATTTATAAAACCCTTTATTTTTCGTAGCGTTGCGTATAAATCACCCATAATTAAAATTTCAGTTTTAGCAAAGGGCAACGGCAAACTTTTCGAAAGGATGTCGATCGAAAGAAGAATCGAGTGCCCAACGACGCTTATAAGAAGTCACCAACGTCACTACTACGTACATAATACGATTATTATTATGCGTATGACATACATACAAGAATTACAAAATAATTGCTTATGAAAAAGTACGTCGAACATCATCACTGTAAATTAAATAACGCGACTTAACTAAGAATACAGAAAGAAAATTTATTGATCCACGTAAAATCGGCGGGAAGGTGGAGGAGGGGAGGGGGAGGAGGGTCGTGCTGTTGATTTTTCGAATAACGAAAGATTCATCCATAGTTTCTACCGTGCATTTAATTTTACCTAAAACGTACGAATATGGCTTATCTAAATCACTAACACGGCTTTTCTTTTTAATATCTGTCACATTCAATTGATATTCATTTCTAAACTCGAAACTCAAAAGATTAATTATGTCGCGATGTCGCTTGTGCATATTTCTGATAAACTAGTAATTTCTAGATCGCTCGATCTTCTCCCTCGTAAAGTACAAAATCGTGAGCGTGAGAGCGCTTCACAAGAGTCAAATTCCTATCGCTGGACAAAAAAGTAGCGTACGTACCACACATTCGCAAATACGTTTTTACACACGAATTCGAGTCTTCTCGAAGCACACGCAAGATAAAAAATATCGTTTCTGCAACATATGGTCACAGATATAGCCAGTAATCACCAAGCATTAAGTCTATCTGTCGACGAAAAAAAAGTTATCAGCTTCAAATTTAAAGATTTCGATGAATAGTGATTCATCTTTTGAAGTTACTCTTTATTAAAAAAAAAAAACTTTAAAAATTTTATAAATTTTTTTTATTAAAATCGATATCAAAATCGATTCTTGCAATCTGTTCGTAAATGGAATATATAAATTTGACCGTTCGCTTCCTAACGTACGGAAAACGCATCGTACTCGATGGTCACGTTTTAAATCGAAGACGTAGACGACAAAACACATTTTGTTTGCGTGTGAATTCGTATGTGAATTTATTATAAGGAAATTACAAAAACCGCAGATTAATAAGACGTCATACAAAAGCGCCGCCCCACAGAAAAAAAAATTTTTTCACGTTCGCAAAACAAGTCCGCTCGCACTTGTGGTCCCTCCTTCCGGTTATCGCCCGTAATCGGCATCGAGACGGTGGGCGTCAGCATCGTTACTTCCTTCCGTAGGAACTCTACTGTCATTACCGTTTTATAGATCACACTGCCGAGATGACGATCATCACAATCGCCGCGCGATAATTAAAAAAAAAGGGGTATAATCGGGTTGACATTGCCTTATTATTTAATCGCGTTTCCGTTTCGAATTTACTGAACACGACGCACGTTTCCTTTTTCTTATATCGTAACGAATCACAACGTTAAAACTCGCTCGCTCCGCAATGCAACAATAGATTCCTATAACTCGTAACAAACAAGACGAGTTGTGCAGCGCTTTCCTGTTCTTATCGATAAATTCTAATCCTTTTCCATCGATAAAAGCTAATCTTTCCTCACCGACACACGCCCACACAATAAACAATCATTCTTTCTTTCTTTCTTTCTTTTCTCCCTCTCTCTCTCTCTCTCTCACTCTCCCCCCTCTCTCATTCTCTCTCTCTCTCTCTCACACACACACACACACATTTCCTCTCTCGCTCTCAATCTCGCCTCCTTTCTTTCCGTTCTAACAATAATTAATTTCTGATAAATACTATTCAAGCTATGCCTAAAAACTATTGCAGATAGAAACGCATTAGAAACGGTATAAAATGGACATGTTTCGTTCATTTTCCTGTCCCTTTCAACAACTCTATGTTTATATATGATAGATTCCTCTCTTCTGCCTCTTCTGCCTTTTCCTTTAGCTTTCCCTTTTCCTAAGCATATGATGCGTATTATTTATATCTGGCATACGCGATTTCTGAGAAGTACACCGTACACAGTAAAGGGTTTAGACGGGGGTACAGGGGGAGGGGAGGGAGGAAAGGGAGGTAAAAGTGCTAATATATAATACAAAGTGCTAATATTATAAATCGGGACAATCGAATTATGTGCTGCGTGTAACTGTTTTTTAGGCTCGATCGCCCACCGGCTTGTTCAGTCTTTCTTGCGTTTCTAACCTTCCTCTCAGCGCAGATTCAACCGTGACAATCCTAATGCTGACACACCCGGAATCGTGTCCTTCATTCAATGGCGACGCGGGACATCATCAAACCCCGCCTGGTGAGCAAAACGCTGTAACAAAATCAATGAAATTTATATTACCACATAGCCAAGACAGTATAAAAACACGAGTGCAATTGTATTATAATAATCCTGTATTATACGGTATTGATTTCCAATTAGAATTAATGTGGTTTGATTAATACTGATAAGATAAAATAGAATATAATACGAGATGAGATTAATAATGATTGTAAATATTCGATTTCGACTCTTTTTCAAAATAATACACAACTTTAAATCAAAATTAGCAATCGTAACTTTCAGAGATAAAAATTATGTTAATATTGCGTTTCGAGAGTGTTGTCTTACCCTAGTCCGGTTCCAATGAGCAGAGACAAAAGATTTGTGAAGAATAGAGTGTAAATGACCTCCTTGGAAAACAATCCGTTCTTGCCAACCTTCGCGGTGCGGATGCTGTACGTTTTTCTCTTATTGCCCAAGGGGTGTTTAAACTTCCAGTCTCTAAAGCGCAATTAAAACCAAGGATGTAAGAATTTTATTCGCAAATGTTACTCGTTGTAAAAGAAAAGTTTCTTAAATCAAAATAAATCCTATATATGACACACGAGTACATGTAACTGTTTCTCTAATGCTCACTCGGTTATAATAATCGAAAATTATATAGCAACCAAATACAATTATTTGTTATATTTAATAAATTAAAGTCTCGTTTGTCGTACTTTGGAGGTGCCTGGTCCGGTCGAGAGCTCCACTCGTAAATCCAGTCCGTGTTCTTCTCCAGAAGCTCGCCCTCCTGCGAAGCAGAACAATGTACGCCTTGTTGAAAGAGAACGATCGGGGAAATACTTCGCGATTATCGTGCGGCAAGAACAAGACAGATTTCGAATTAATCATTCCGAATGCATCGGACGAGAAGTTTCGACGGGGAGAGCAACGAGTAATTAATCCCGCAGAGCACACACACTCTCTCTCTATGAATGGCAATCGCGTCGCGTGGAAAAGTGAATGCTCAAGGATGACCTTTGGCGTTCCGCCAGCGTCGCACACACGTATGTATCTAGCGTACGTCGGTGGTATACGTATATCGGATCCGATATGCGCAGTATATCGCGAGTTGTGCGCATAAACGTCGCGAACACCGGCTGTAAACAATGCTCGGAAGACGCTCGCTCGGGGAAGGTGCAAATTGACGGTGTGAAGGCGAAAGGAGAGGAATCGGGACGTGAATGCGAGTCGCTCGTATCGAGAGGAGAGATTTAAATGTTTGATGAGCTGTTTCCCTCCGTGAACTCCGAGAGACTTTCAGACGGTTCCTATTTTCGAAATTGGGTCATCGATTTAATATACGCATTATGACAGAACGCGCGGACGCACAAAGATAACTTATGAGTCACACGATTCGTAGTCACGCAGTGTGTGTCTGTTAAAAACGACGTCTATGTCTGTAGTACAAATATTACATCGCTAAGTACTTCGTCACGTCTTCATGTTTACCCTCCTTTCGCGATATATTGCTCGATTTATGATCGAGTAATTGCAGTACAATTCATTATCCGCTTATCGTCAAGGAAAAAGGAGCGCCGCTAAGGGGAGTCGGGAGGCACGTTCAATGCTGATGTTCTCGAATTAAGGGGGTATTCTAGTCTAGCGGATCCGCGGAAAAATCGATTTTTTTAATAATATTTTGCAAGTATTTGATATGGAAAATATGTCTGGAAAAGAATTTAGCCCGATTCGCAAAATTAACAAAGTTATAGGCCGGTATTCATAGTCGATTCTTATATTTAAGATAGTCTTAAGTAGTCTTAAGATGTTACAAGCCAATAACAGAACCGTATTAGCGACATTACTTATAACGGCCTTGAAATAAAAACCGATTGATGAATACCGGCCATAGCACTTGATAGGGAGCGGTCTCAATCTATGTAATCAGTACAATAAAGACTTTAAACGCGTTTTTCTCGAAATCACGTTTTTAAAATTGGTGCCCATGATATCTCGAAAACCAATCAATTCGGGCTTGTGCACACATCATCAGCATATGCGTGGTTATAGCCCCTATCTTGATCAAGTCAAAATATGTCTTTTTTTCATTTTTACAACATTTTACAATTAAATTTTTACAATTTTTACATTTTTTTAAATTTAAAATTGAAAAAAATGGCAAAAATCTAAACTTAATTTTCAAAATAATGTCAGTTTTTAAATTTTTAGTATTTTTTTTTATGTTCTAGTATAACCAGCTATAGCCAAACTCATTAAGAATTTCTTTAATTTTTTAGTTTTAAATGAGCAGAACAGCTGGAATTATGGGCACCGTGGACCAATCTTTTTTTTCATGACTTCAGTATATTGTATATAGCCCTTATTTATAGTTATTTTTAAATAAAAATATTTTGAAACATACTTCAAATATGTATAAATATGTAGAAAAAAACCGTCCCAAAAAATTTTATAGTTTCTTTTAAAAAAATTCGCAAAAATAGCATAAAAATTTGGCCTCTAGACTGGAATACCCCCTTTTAAATCAGTATCTGGCGCGTACAAAGTCACGCTTTGTATTATTATCTTCCTACCGGGGCTAACGCGGCAGGCGAACTCAGAAACTTTTTTTCTTGCCGGCCGCAGATACGGTTCATTATATGTATATAAGATAATGTCCGGTTGCCAACCAGCAGATAAATTCAATCTTAACGACGGCCGCGTGCGACCGTCTCTATATTTAGTTCGACAATAGCAATTTGCATTTCGCTCGGTTTGTCGATCTGAATTGCGGTGATTCATGCGAAAGGAATATTCCGTAAATATCAATTCATATCAATTAAATATCAATATGAACATTAATCTATAACAATAAGCAACAGTTGAAATGTTGATCGAAGTTCATTCATATCTCTCTCTCTCTCTCTCTCTCTCTCTCTCTCTCTCTCTCTCTCTTTGTCTCACTATAACAGAAAGAGTATTTCTTTACGTATCTTTATTATGTTTGATATTCCAAGCGAGTACTCTTCGTGTATTCTCTGTCACGCGCGTTTCCGACATTTCTCGATTTATTTAAAATAACTCCGCGTTACGTGCCATTGTTCCTCCGTGCCGGTGTCAGAACGTCCATTGTTTACGATCGCAGAAAGCACTTTGTCATTGCTAAGATAAAGCTTAATCCCCCAACCCAAGTGATTCACCCGCGGGCTATCAATCAACGCGAAGATTGCGCGTGCAAACTCGCGACACGCGCGACTCGTAACTTCACCTGAATCATTAGTGCTCTTCATCCGGTTATCGATCGATCGGTGATTAGAACTAAACAAAATAAAAACGATCAAAGAACGAATTTTTCTCGGATTGCCTTGGCGTTCGCCAAGTTCGTGTCGTTTTTGCATTACAATCGGGAGCACGCGGAGCACGAGGTGTACCGAGAACGAAGAAATTGTATCGTCGTTATAAATTCATCGAGGTACAATCGTTATATCGGGAAGAGATCGATAAGCTTCAATAATCCGAACAATCGTCGCCGCGAGTCCACGAAAAGCGACGATATATTTATTTCCGAGCGCACGTATGCTCGTTACCTGTGACACCGATCGCTTCATCGTTTGCTCAAGAATCCGCAGATCGTAATGAAAAAGCGTATATACATAATATACAGTTGCGTGCCACGCGCGCGCTTAGTTTTTTCACAGCTCTATCGTGACTTTTAATACCTGGTAAGAAAAAACGCTTTCGTGCGGCGGTCACGTCGCGTAACTGTGCACGCAACAGTAACGCGACGGAAAACGATCGATATGCACACTCGCGTGCGGAGACTTTTCGCATTTCGTCAGTTTCCCTAATCCATGCACGCGTATCATGCGACGTCTCAGGATTACCAGAGAGGCGTCGCGGCGCAGAGGTGTCGTCGGTCGATCGCGAAAAGCTGCACGTCACCGTTATAAATAACTTTTACAGCTGTGTTTGCCTTTTCATCGCCACATCCTAGGATCCCTCGAGTCGCGCGTGTCCACCACACGTCGTCCAGGACGACGACGATGGAGATGCAGTGCGACACAAAATTGAAATACAGTCGAGCGTCCAATGCGAGACGTCTGGGTCTCAAAGTAAAACATTGCAATTTCTCCTTTACAGGTCAGGCTTTACCTGATTTAGCAGATTTAGTAATTCAATTAACAAAATTTATTAGTCCTAAGTCCAAGATTAATTCACCGCTGAAATGTATTAATATTATTATATCATTGTCGTGCAATTATTTTTCAGCGCAGCACTCTACGTGTTATTCCTTCTAGTTTTCCAGAAAATACGCGAAAGAACGAGTTTCTGATGCAGTCACCAGAACAGATGGCCAAAAAAAAAAAAGAAGATACACGGATGCGGAAACAGCAGATGTTTCGGACCAGGATTGCGAGACATGGTGCAACACAAGTTTTCTCCTTATCTTTATCTCATTTTCTCCTGCTTTTCCTCTCCTTTACTTAAATAATAACGTTTCTCTAACAAGCGGAACCTCATCCGGACTTGCGAAAGACGTCATTTTTTTTCAACAGATTTAGAGAAAAATTAAAAATGCGCATTTTATTATATATATTTTTAAATTAATCTCAATCGACGAGGATGAAATCCAAATTCCAAATTCCATTCATTGTACTTAACTATCGAGCGTTTTCCTTCACCCACGGTAGTACATATAACGCCGGAGTTAAATTTAAATGCCCGATTGATCCGAATCCGTGGGTGTACCCCCGCGGTACGCCTCTCGCGCTAATTACGCCGTCGGTTTCTTTTGCGGCGTACGAAGTCGAGGAAAGTCAACAGAGCGTCGTCGTCGTCGCGCGCGTCGACGGATCGAAAACCCAGCTGGCACACGGCGTCCAAGAGGAGAATGGATCCACACGACGGCGCCGACGTCGTCGCCGCCGTCAAGCGTGGCGTGAGCTCGGCACGACCGGCTATTGGCCAGTCGGTACTGCGACGTTCCCGATAGTGCCTCCACACGCGTGCTCCTTCCCGACCCCGCTTTTCTTCCCGACGACGGTGACGAGTAGGGGTCCACGACGTAGGAAGCGCAGTAGCCGCGAAACGCGCCGGTTCGAAAGATAAGGCGACACGACACGACACGACGCGATGCGACGCGACGCGACGCGACGGCTCATTAATAATACCATAAACGAGGCGTCCCTGAAGCCGTTTAATCGCCACTTTTCTCCCGATTACAGATCCTTCGACAAATCGAAAGAAAATACATCTTCATTCTTTTAATAATCGTGCTCAAAGCTGGATCCAGGTCAAACAAGAGAGTAAACGAGCATTATTGCCGCTTCCTCCTTCCTCTACGCTTCTTCTCGTCCCGGACCAATGTCGATCCGCAATTATTACATTAGCGCGTAGTGAAGAAAATTGCGGAACGTGTTTCTCAGTACAATGCAATTAATTAACTGCGACGATCGTATATAAAAGACTTGTTATTTAAACACATAAAGAAGCTCGATGCTAAATATACTGAAAGAATTTATTGACACGGTCTGAGCCGTTCCTGTTGCCGCGAACAATCGGAATTATACACCATTGTCTCGGTACTACATGGTACATATACCATGAATCAAAACGATTTCATGCTTCTTTTAACACGACTAAAGCATCTTCATGTCCGCTTATTCTTCTGTTCCTTCCGTTTTCTTTTCCCTCGTGC